TCTATTTTTATTTTTTTCCTATTTTTGTTTATTAATATTTGAGATGATGTCTTGCTCTGTTGCCCAGGCTAGAATGCAATGGTATAATCTCAGCTCACTGCAACCTCTGCCTCCCGAGTTCAAGTGATTCTCCTGCCTCAGCCTCCCAAGTAGCTGGGATTACGATGCCTGCCACCACACGCTGCTAATTTTGTATTTTTAGTAGAGATGAGGTTTCACCATGTTGGCCAGGCTGGTCTTGAACTCCTGACCCCAGGTGATCTGCCTGTCTCAGCCTCCTAAAGTGGTGGGATTACAGCCGTGAGCCACCGTGCCTGGCCAAAGTATCTCTTTTTTTTTCTTTAAATTTTTTTCTTTTTTATTGTTTTAATCAGTGTATTTTTATTTTTTTCTTTCATTTTTAATTTGTTTTTCTTTTCCAAAGTATCTTTTATAACATCTTGTATGAAGACTTCTGTTCTGAGTTCCATCTCCACATTTCCAACTGTAGTGGATACTTTCCTTAGTTGTGCTGTGGCTGATCAATCCTTCTGTATGAAACACCTATTCCTCAGCAACTCAGACTTAAGAAATATAAAGTACAAGGTAGCTTTTACTTTACAACCCTTTTATTGTCATTCTTCGAACTTAGACTCTTAACATTTTTACTTCTACCTCCAATTCATCCTGTTCTGTCTCGTTAAATTAAACTTCTTAAAATATCTTCTGTCACTTTTTTTTCAAATACCCTCTAGCTTATTAAATAATTTCTAAAATTCATAGCTAAATGTCAGAGGCCCTCTTGATCTATCCCTTATTCTCTTAGTTTGTTTGGAATACTGTAAATAAAATGCTTTAGACCGAGTATATTATAAATAAGAGAAATGTGTTTTTCACAAATCTGAAGGCTGGGAAGTCCCAAATCAAGGCACTAGCAGATTTGGGTCTGGTAAAGGCTTACCCTCTGGTTCATAGATGACATCTCTTGCTGTGTCCTCACACTGTGGAAGGGCAAACTCTGTGTCCTCACATGGCAGAAGGGCAAAAGTGGAGACAAATGCTGTGCCATCACATGGCAGAAGAGATGTAAAGGCCAGGAAGCTCTCTAATGGACTCTTTTAAAAGGCCATTATTAATTCCATTCTTTGAGAGTTAATCACTATCCCAAATGCCCCACCTCTTAATACCACCAAAATGAGGATTGAATTTTTTTTTTTCTTTTTTTTGAGACGTAATCTTACCCTGTTGCCCAGGCTGGAGCACAGCAGTGTGATCATAGTGGTACGATCACAGCAGCATGATCACAGTAGCGTGATCACAGTGGCTCGATCTTGGCTCACTGTAACCTCTACCTCCCAGATTCAAGCAATTTGAGTAGCTAGGATTACAGGCACACATCACCATACCTGGCAAATAATTGTATTTTTAGTAGAGACAGGGGTCTCACCATGTTGGCCAAGCTGGTCTTGAACTCCTGACCTCAAGTGATCCACCGGCCTTGGCCTCGTGTTGGGATTACAGCGTGAGCCACTGAACCCAGCCGAGGGTTAAATTTTGACATGAATTTTGGAGGGATACAAACATTCAAACCACAGCATTAGCCAACATTTTTAGTTTCCATATCCATTGATTAATCTCAACGGAGTCAACCATCCACTCCACTCCATCTGAATCTATTAAACTCATTAAATGCCTGGTATTTTCCTCCCTGAATATCTTGGCCATGCCATTTTCTATATCTGGACAGCCCTTATTTCTGTCTTCACCACCTCCTTCTACGCATCTTCCTGTGTATTGCAGCACACATTGATGTCTCTCTTTTCTCTCTTTGGCAATTATTGTAAATCTCTCTTTTACTTCTTAGCAAGTAACTGTCTTGGAATTATTTTTCCACTTTTCTTGTCTTCATTTCCAGTTAGACTGTACACACTTGGAGACAGGGGCTGTGTCATTTACTTACTCATTCCATAGTGACTGGGTACCTGTGGAATATTTTTGGCCCTGTGCTGGAAATACAAACTGGTTTGTAGCGTGCTTACTGCTTTTTTTTTTTTTTTTTTTTTTTTTTTGAGACGGAGTTTCGCTCTTGTTACCCAGGCTGGAGTGCAATGGCGCGATCTCGGCTCACCGCAACCTCCGCCTCCTGGGTTCAAGCAATTCTCCTGCCTCAGCCTCCTGAGTAGCTGGGATGACAGGCATGTGCCACCATGCCCAGCTAATTTTTTGTATTTTTAGTAGAGATGGGGTTTCACCATGTTGACCAGGATGGTCTCGATCTCTTGAGCTTGTGATCCGCCCGCCTCGGCCTCCCAAAGTGCTGGGATTAGAGGCGTGAGCCACCGCGCCCGGCCTGCGTGCTTACTGCTTTTAAGGTGCTCACATTCTTGTGGGGACGTAGACACAAAGGCAAATCATTGCAATTCAAGATGATAATGGCTTCAGAGGAGCCACAGACGGAACAAAAACAGCTAACTTTTCCTAGGGGAACTGAAAAGGGCTTATACCTGATATTTCCACATGGGCCAATGACCCACTAAAGAATCGCATAAATTCCTTGAAGGTGATAACTCATGATTTTCACAATTGATTTTTCTGTTACCCTAGAGAAGCCATTAGTCTTTTCATGCCTTTGCCTGCAGTATTCACATGCCACGATGTTTTTAAACTACCGATTGTTAGGAAAAATTGTCAGTCCTTAATGAACTAGAATGCTTTCTCACAACTCAAATCTGCAATGGGTACGTAGAGACCTATACCTTGCAGACGGTGTTCCAGGAGTCAGGAGATTGCTGCAGTACAATGGTCTACTTCTGAAAGCCTGGCTGGCTGGTGAAGGATGGATGTAGGGAGAATAAAGTGATAGTATTCAAGGCCAGGCACAGTGGCTTACACCTGTATTCCTAGCACTTTGGGAGGCAAGGCAGGTGATTCTCTTGAGCCCAGGAGTTTGAGACCAGCCTGGGCAACATGGTGAAACCTCATCTCTACAAAAAAAAATACAACAATAACAGGTTAAGGAGGGAAGATTGCTTGAGGCCAGGAGTTGGAGGCTGCAGTGAGCTAGCTATGATTGTTCTAGGGCACACCAGCCTGGGTGACAGAGACAGAGAGATCCTATCTCAAAAAAAAAAAAAAAAAAAAGGTACTATTCAGGTAACACCCAGTGCTCAAAAGAAAAGATGGAAAGATGGTAAGACTTTTGATGATAACGTTATTTTTGATGGGGGGGTCATGTCATAGTGCATTCCTCCTGCTATAAATGCCACAGACTGAGTAATTAAAGATATTGGAAATTTGCCGGGCGCGGTGGCTCAAGCCTGTAATCCCAGCACTTTGGGAGGCCGAGGCGGGTGGATCACGAGGTCGAGAGATCGAGACCATCCTGGTCAACATGATGAAACCCCGTCTCTACTAAAAGTGCAAAAAATTAGCTGGGCATGGTGGCACGTGCCTGTAATCCCAGCTACTCAGGAGGCTGAGGCAGGAGAATTGCCTGACCCCAGGAGGCAGAGGTTGCGGTGAGCCGAGATCGCGCCATTGCACTCCAGCCTGGGTAACAAGGGCAAAACTCCGTCTCAAAAAAAAAAAAAAAAAAAAAAAAAAAGATATTGGAAATTAAAAAAAAAAAAAAGATATTGGAAATTTATTTCTCCCAGTTGTGGAGACTAGGGAGTTCAAGTTCAAGGCTCAGACACATTTGATGTCTGGTGGAGATCCACTGTCTGTTTCCAAGATGGCGCCTTTTTGCTACAACTTCCAGAGGGGATGAACGCGACGTCCTTACCTGGTGGAAAGGACTGTAGGACAAAAGAGACTAAGATGCCATCTTCAACCTTTTTTTTTTTTCTTCAAACTTCTTTTTATAAGAACACTAATTCTATTCCTAAGGCTGGAGAACTCGTGACTTAATCGCTTCCCAAAAGGCCCCCACCTCTTACTATTATCACACTGGGTATTAGGTTCCCACATGAATTTTAGAGAAACACATGCATTCAAACCGTAGCCAAGTGGGAATCTTATGCATAGCTATTTTCATTTCTCTTCCCTTCTCATAAGGTCCAGACCTCAGAGCCTGCTGAATATTGCTGATTTCATGTGTCACAGAAGGAAAACCCTGTCCTGCCTCTGAGGACTTTTGCCTGGAGTTCAGCTAATTAGGAAAAAGGAAAAACTGTCTAGAGAATCTGCCCCTACTGGGATGACATGCCAACTGTTTAGTGCTGCATCTGTGACGTTCCTCACCCGTACACCCAGTTAAATGAGACCATTTATTCTTTGATTCAACAGTTTCTTGTGCTGTATCCTCCAGAGGAAATGAACATCATGTCTGCACATGGTGGAAGGACAAGAAAGGGGTTCTGGAACTCACTTAGGTTTTTTGTTTTTTGTTTTCAGAGTTTTGCTCTTGTTACTCAGGCTGGAGCGCAACAGTGCGATCTTGGCTCACCGCAACCTCTGCCTCCCAGGTTCAAGTGATTCTTCGGTTTCAGCCTCTGATTAGCTGGGATTACAGGCATACGCCACCATGCCCAACTACTTCTGTAGTTTTAGTAGGAGATTTATCTTATTCATAGAGCCCTCATGACCTAATCACCTCCTCAGAGTCTCACCTCTTTTTTTTTTTTTGAGACAGGATCTCACTCTTCAACCAGGCTGGAGTGCATGATTATGGCTCACTGCAGTCTCAAACCCTGGCAATCCTCTTATCTCAATCTCCTAAGTAGCTGGGTCTATAGGTGCACCATTATACCTGGCTAATTTAAAAAATCATGTAGACATGGGGGAGGGTCTCACTATGTTGCCCAGGCTGGTCTTGAACTCCTGGGATCAAGAAATCCTCCCACCTTGGCCTTCCAAAACGTGCCAGAATTACTGGCATGTGCCCCAAGCCTGGCCCAAGCCCCACCTGTTAATGCCATCACCTTACGCATTAAGTTCCAATGTGAATTTTGGAGGGACACATCCATTCAAACCTTAGCAATAACAGGAATGGTGTTTACCTTTATGGAGCCAATAATCTAATGGAGAATACAGATGAAATAGAGAAGCAAGAATTAATTAACAACAGTGATAGGTTTTGTCAAGGAAGCACAGATGTCAGCAACAGAGAAAAATTAGGTAGGACTCCATTTTCTCAGAGAAGTGTATTCGAAGGAGGTGACATTTAAGTTGGTGCAGTCTTGGGGTAGAGAGAGTGTCCCAGAAAGGAGAGAAACAACTGTGTTTGAGAGGGTGCCGGTTGTGGGGACAGGCAGAGAGGAGGGCTGGAGAGCACTCTCCCCATCTAACTGGCAGGGATATGGTGTGGGAGGTAAAGACTCAGGAAGCAGATTGCCCGGGTTCAAGTCTCCATTCTGCCTCTTCTAACACTGTGATTTCATGTAAGCTTTGAGTTCCATCTTTCGGTTTTCTCATCTATAAAATGGAGGTTAAACATCATACTTGTGTCATAGAGTTTCAGGGAGAAGCCATAAACCCAGATTTTTATATGAACTCTCCCAACTTTTAAATTTTAGTCACTTATTTTGAAAAGATTATTTTTAAAAAACTGAGTAAGTTGGCCGGGTGCAGTGGCTCACACCTGTAATCTTGGAAATTTGGGAGGTGGAAGCGGGTGGACCCCTTGAGCTCAAGAGTTCAAGATTAGCCTGGGTGACATAGTAAAACCCCATCTCTTCAAAATATACAGAAATTAGACAGGTGTGCTGGCATGTGCCTTCAGCCACAGTTAAGTGGGAGGATGAGGTAGGAGGACTGCTTGAGCCGGAAAGGTTGAGGCTGCAGTGAGCTATGATGGTGTCACTGCCTGGGTGACAGAGTGAGACCCTGCCTTGAAAAAAAAACAACAAAAAACCCCAAACTGAGTAATTAACCCCGTCTGTGAACTCCTTATAACTTGGGGGTCACTAGTCTTTTATTTGGGGTCTCATATGGCACGTAGTTTGGACTTTTTTCCTCAAGTTTTATGGGAATTTATTGAGATAACAGTCTGACCTGTGGTTTTTTTGTTTTGTTTTGTGTGTGTGTGTGTGTGTGTGTGTGTGTGTGTGTGTGTTTGTTTTTTTTTTTTGACGGAGTTTCACTCTTGTTACCCAGGCCGGAGTGCAATGGCGCGATCTCGGCTCACCGCAACCTCCGCCTCCTGGGTTCAGGCAATTCTCCTGCCTCAGCGTTCTGAGTAGCTGGGATTACAGGCACGTGTCACCATGCCCAGCTAATTTTTTTTTTTTTTTGTATATTTAGTAGACACAGGGTTTCACCATGTTGACCAGGATAGTCTCGATCTCTTGACCTCGTGACCCACCCACCTCGGCCTCCCAAAGTGCTGGGATTACAGGATTGAGCCACCGCGCCCGGCCTGACCTGTGTTTTAAAGATAATGTGACTGCGGACCAGAAAATGGATTAGAGGGGGCAACGCGGAAGCAGTAAGACTGTTAAGACTTGAATGCAATTTCTAGGATGACCCTAGAATGCTTTAATGACCCAGCACAGCTGTTTAGTTACTTCATTTTCTATCTGCTCCCACCCTCAACCCCAACAAATTCCCATTAGGCCAGAGTAATTTTGAGACTTTTTTTTTTTTTTTTTTTTTTTTTTTTGAGACAGAGTCTTGTTCTATCACCCAGGCTAGAGTGCAGTGGTCAGATCTTGGCTCACTGCAACCTTCGCCTCCTGGGTTCAAGTGATTCTCCTGCCTCATCCTCCTGAGTAGCTGGGATTACAGGCATGCACCACATGCCTGGCTAATTTTTGTATTTTTATTAGAGATGGGGTTTCACCATGTTGACCAGGCTAGTCTCAAACTCCTGACCTCGTGATCCACCCACCTCGGCCTCCCAAAGTGCTGGGATTACAGGCATGAGCCACCTCACCTGGTGAAGACTTTCTTAAGACTTCATCTATTTGCATTTGGAAGCCCCTGCCACATTATCTATTTATTGTTTCATTCATGCATTCATTCAGCAGACACTTATTTAGTATTTTTTTCTGTGCCAGGCACTATTCTAAGCACTTGACATTTACTTCTCACAGCTTTCCAGAGGTAGCTACTATTATTGTCCCATTTTGCAGGTGTCTCATCCCAGTCAACACTGCTAGAATGAGGAAGAGATTTTAACTGGGCAGTCTGGCTCCAGAGTCTGATTAGACTCTGCATTTCATCCTGATTGTTTGCTGCCACAGCATTCTGCATTAAATATAAAGTACGCGCCGGGCGCGGTGGCTCAAGCCTGTAATCCCAGCACTTTGGGAGGCCGAGGCGGGTGGATCACAAGGTCGAGAGATCGAGACCAACCTGGTCAACATGGTGAAACCCCGTCTCTACTAAAAATACAAAAAATTAGCTGGGCATGGTGGCGCGTGCCTGTAATCCCAGCTACTCAGGAAGCTGAGACAGGAGAATTGCCTGAACCCAGGAGGTCGAGGTTGCAGTGAGCCGAGATCGCGCCATTGCACTCCAGCCTGGGTAACAAGAGCGAAACTCCGTCTCAAAAAAAAAAAAAAAAAAAAAAAAAAAATATATATATATATATATATATATATGTATAAAGTACGCATAAGTTTATTGGGGAAAAATGGTGGGCATTGCTATTGAAGAGGGAGACCCAGGCATCTCAGATCAACTTCCCTTTTCCTAAGACTATAAACTTCCCCTTTTCATTCCTAAGACTGCAAACAAACTCTTTTCATATGTAATTCCTAAGACTGTAAACTGAAATCCTTTTCCTATGTAATTCCTAAGACTGTAAACTGAAACCCTTTTCATATGTAATTCCTAAGACTGTAAACAGAGACCCTTTTCATATGTTAAGCTATAAACCTAAGATTCTTCCACGGGTAACATCTAAAGTATAAGCCTATGTAAAGAAGGAACCTTCCTTTGTTAGGGGAGCTTGGATATTAGGCAAATATGCCACCTGGCTCCCGGCCGAATAAACTCTTTCCTCCAATATTTGGCGTACGAGAGATCTGTTTCCTATGGCCGCTCCTGCTACACTATAACTTTGCCTTTGAAAATACTTATTCCTGAATCCTACTAAATTTATGGCAGACCTTGAGTTTTTCAACAATCACCGTGCATAATACAAAAATCTTGCAATTCAAAAACTCTAACCTACAACTGATTTTCAAATGTGATGAAATGTTTATGAACACTAATGAACAGCAGGCTGTGTGAAGTGGCTCATGCCTGTAATCTCAATACTTTGGGAGGCCAAGGCAAGAGAATTGCTTGAGCTCAGGAGTTCAAGACCAGCCTGGATAACTGGCATGTGCCTATAATCCCAGCTACACAGGAGGCTGAGGCAGGAGAATCACTTGAACCTGGGAAATGGATGTTGCAGTGAGCTGAGACCATGCCACTGCATGCCAGCCTGGGCAACAGAGCGAGACTCTGTCTCTAAATAAATAAATAGCAAGACTTTGTTCTTTACAAAAAAAAAAGATTAGCCTGGTGTGGTTGCACGCACCTGTAGTCCCAGCTACTAGGGAGCTGAGGATAGAAAGATTACTTGAACTCAGGAGGTTGAGGATGCCATGAGCTGTGATTGTACCACTGCACTCCTTCCTGGGTGACAGACTGAGATCCTGTCTCTTAAAAAAATAAAAATAAATTAATAGTGGCTGGGTGTGGTGGCTCACACTTGTAATCCTTGTACATTGGGGCGTCGAGGCAGGTGGATCACCTGAGGTCAGGAGTTTGAGACCAGCTTGGCCAACATGGAGAAACCCTATCTCTAATAAAAATTCAAAAGTTATCCAAGTGAGGTGATGGGCGCTTGTATCCTAGCTACTCCAGAGGCTGAGGCAGGAGAATTGCTTGAACCTGAGAGGCAGAGGTTGCGGTGAGCCGAGACTATGCCACTGCACTCCAACCTGGGTGACAGAGCAAGACCCTGTCTCAAAAACCTAAATAAATAAATAAAATAAATTAATAATGAGTGACAGTGACATAATGCAATGTGTTGTCGACATTTCATTAACCATTTACTAAGTTTAATTTTGCCCATTAAAATTTGTTTTCATGTCTTAAATTACTTCCAGGAATGCTGGAACCCCTAAGTATCTAAACTGCTGACTCCAGTGGCCTGAGGGATGGGCTGGCCTCATAGTGCTCCCAGTCTGTCCTCCACCTCTGATCCCTTCCTGTCTGTATCTGGGCCCCTGGCCCCTACTGGCTGAAACCCGGCCTAAATCCCTGCCCAGAATTGAGCTCCTGCTGCTTTGCTTCCCTCTTGCCAGTCCTGTCACAGGGCACTGGACTTTTGCCCTGCACATTAGGGAATTGAGCTCTAGGTCCCCTGGTCTACTTACCAGCTCTCTGTGTAGTGTCTGTGGCTGGATTCCCTCTCTTTTAGCCTACCCCAATTGGAAATCACAGGAGCTGACCATTTCCGAACAAAGCCCTGAGAGCCAGATCTGTTGTATGTCTGCATCACAGATTTGGGTGATGGGTCCACTTTTTTGGTTTTTCTGTTTTTTTTCCCCCACTGTCTCTGAGGGACCTTCTGGGTACTGGGTAACACTTTTTTTACATTTGCTTATGTGATGATTTGGATTATTTAAGTCATTCCTTATTATTCATAAGTTCTGCAAAGGTGGGGCCCAACACATTGCATTGATTTTGCACAGCATTGTATCCCAGAATCTAACAGTGCCAGGCACTTAGATGGTGTCTGGCACGGTTGCATTTTTATTGGATAAATGAGTGACACTAAGATAAATTTTCTATTCACCCTTTCTGTTCTGTTCCCTTTTATTTCTTCCCTTTCTCATTATCTCCTAGTTCCTTTACTCTCTTGGCTTCTTCAAATTCTTAATCTTTTTATCTAAGAGATGATTCTCCCTTCCTTGTTCATATATTTTGAATCAAAGGGCTACTATTTCTCCCTTTCATCTTCATTTTCAAATGTGTGGTCATACAATGCTGTTCCAAATATATATATCTGGAAGTCCAAGTTAAAGGTTCAGACAGATTTGGTGTTTCATGGGGACCCTGTCTCTGTTTTCCAAGATGGTGCCTTGTTGCAACATCCTCCAGAGGGAACGAACACTAGGTTCTCACCTCCTGGAAGTAATGGTAGACAAAAAGCACTAGGGTGCTTTCTTCAACCTTTTTTGATTTTTTGATGGAGTATCGTTTGGTCGCCCAGGCTGGAGTGCTGTGGCACAATCTTGGCTCACTGCAACCTCTGCCTCCCAGGTTCAAGAGATTCTAGTTGCCTGAACCTCCCAAGTTTCTGAGATTCCAGGAGCCTGCCACTATGCCAAGCTACTTTTTGTATTTTTAGGAGAGACAGAGTTTCACCACGTTAGCCAGGGTGGTCTTGAACTCCTGACTTCAAGTGATCCACCTGCCTTGACTTTCCAAAGTGCTGGGATTACTGGGGTGAGCCACTGCACACATCCACCTTTCTAAATAAAAACAATAATCTCTTTGCTAAGGATGGATATGGCCAGGTGCAGTAGTGCATACCTGTTGTCCCAGCTACACAGGAGGCTGAGGCAGAAGGCTCCTTAGAGCCCAGTAGTTGGAGACCCAGCCTGGGCAACAAATCGAAAACCTGTCGCAAAGTAACAACACAAAGAACAAGTCACAGCTTCAGCAAATGGAATTGTGAGGTGGATGTATAGTACTCTCAAATACCATAACATTGAAAAAAAATCAGAGGAAAAAAGAACAAAACTCTGCGCTGGAAAAAGGCGGTAGGCAGTATCTTTCAAATGTCTTGACATTCTAAGAAGTCTCTCAACAGTTAATAAATATACTTTTCTTTGGAAACTGCCTGTGAAATATTTTCACATTTCAGATTTGTTTTGGTTATTAAGCTTATGTAAGCTGCCAAGGCAGAAATTACATAAATTCTTGTCAGGCCAGGTGTGGTGGCTCCCTCCTGTAATCCAAGCACTTTGGAGGCCAAGGTGGGTGGATCACCTGAGGTCAGGAGTTTAAGACCAGCCTGACCAACATGGTGAAACCCTGTCTTTAAAACAAAACAAAATTTGGGAGGCCGAGGCGGGTGGATCACGAGGTCAAGAGATCGAGACCATCCCGGTCAACATGGTGAAACCCCCGTCTCTACTAAAAATACAAAAAATTAGCTGGGCATGGTGGTACGTGCCTGTAATCCCAGCTACTCAGGAGGCTGAGGCAGGAGAATTGCCTGAACCCAGGAGGCGGAGGTTGCGGTGAGCCGAGATCGCGCCATTGCACTCCAGCCTAGACCTTAAAATGAAACTATTTCATATAACAATTTTTTTTTTTTTTTTTTTTTTTTTGAGACAGGATCTTGCTCTGTCATCCAGGCTCCATGTCAGCTCACTGCAACCTCTGCCTCCTCGGCTCAAGCCATTCTCTCTCCTTAGCCTCCTGAGTAGCTGGGACTAACTACAAGCACATGTTACAACACCCAGCTAATTTTTTTTTTTTTTCCTGTTTTGTTGAGACAGGGTCTCACTATATTGCCTGGGCTGTTCCCTAACTCCTGGGCTCAAATGATCCTTCTGCCTTGGCCTCCCAAAGTGTTGAGATTACAGGTGTGAGTCACCACACCCCACCCATAATAAATATTTCTTATTTCTACAATGCTTGTTATCTCCAGCCCTCCAATTACCAGCAAACACAAATAGTCTTATTTTCCGGTGGCTGAATAGATAATCGTTTTTCATTTTTTTTTTTTTTTAGACGGAGTTTCGCTTTGGTTGCCCAGGCTTGAGTGCAATGGTGCGATCTCGGCTCACTGCAACCTCTGCCTCCCAGGTTTGAGTGATTCTCCTGCGTTAGCCTCTTGAGTAGCTGGGATCATAGACACGTGCCACCACACCTGGCTAATTTTGTATTAGGGGTTTCTCCGTGTCGGTCAGGCAAGTCTCGAATTCTCGACCTCAGGTGATCTACCTGCCGCGACCCTGCAAAGTGCTGGGATTATAGGCGTGAGTCACCAGCCAGTACATTTCATAACATCCTGTAGCCAAGTTTACTCTCAGCCCCATGAAGCAGGACACTTTCTATCTTGCAAGAAAAGAAATGGGTGGTAAAAAGTCAAGTGGCCTGGCAACATTTCCTAGAGGAATGTAGGGGGTATGTGGAACTCTTGAGTAGAGCCCAGATTTTTCTTCTGGGCATTGTTAGGTATGAGGAATTAAGGAAAAGGTGGAATCATGGTTTGTCCTATGTTGAAAAGTTTACTAATCTTTCAACCCACATATCATACTGAACTATTCCCTACTCTTTTTTTTCCCCCGACAGAGTCTAGCTCTGGAGTATAGTGGCGTGGTCTCTGCTTACTGTAACCTCTGCCTGTTGGGTTCAAGAGATTCTCCTGCCTCAGCCTCCTGAGTACCTGGGGCTACAGGCATGCACCAACATGCCAGCTAATTTTTTGTATTTTTAGTGGAGACGGGGTTTCACCGTGTTGGCCACACTGGTCTCGAACTCCTGACCTCAGGTGATCTACCCCTCTCAGCCTCCCAAAGTGCTGGGATTACAGGCATGAGCCATGATTCCCAGCCAGTTCCCTACTCTTTTTACCATTGGAATATAAACCAATAGACCGGCTGATTTAGAACAGCTTTTCTGGGCTGGATGCAGTGGTTTACATCTGTAATCCCAGCACTTTGGGAGGTTGAGGTGGGCGATCACCTGAGGTTAGGAGTTTGAGACCAGCCTGACCAACAGGGAGAAACCCCATCTCTACTAAAAAATACAAAATTAGCTGGATGTGGTGGTGCGTGTCGGTAATCCCAGCTACTCAGGAGGCTGAGGCAGGAGAATCACTTGAATCCAGGAGATGGAGGTTGTGGTAAGCCAAGATGGTGCCATTGCACTCCAGCCTGGGCAACAAGAGTGAAACTCTGTCTCAAAAAAAAAAAAAAAAAAAAAAAAAAAACCCAAAACTAACCAAACAAACAAACAAAACAAAAGAACAGCTTTTCTGGTACTTCGTGTCTGTCAAAATATGGAGAAAACAATGTAGCAGAATCAGTGGTCATTTGAGTTCACTTGAGTCCTGGCCACGCTGACAAGTTAGCTCTGTACCCTTGGACACAACACTCATCACTCACTGTCAGATCTCAGAAAAGGACGGAAGGAAGGAAGAGAGAGAGAGAGACAGAAAGAGGCAGAAAAGGAAGGAAGGAAGTTAGAAAGGGAGGGTGAGAGAGAGAAAGAGGAGAGATAGGGAGAGTAAGGGAGGGAGAGAGGGAGAAAAGAAAGGAGGGAAGGAGGAAGAAAGGAAAGGGAGGGATGGAAAAAAGATGGAACAAGATGATTATGAAGCTCTATGTCAGCTGTAATAGTCAAAACCATGATTCTTTTTACTTTTCATTTTTCTTCTTTACAACACAAGAGCAACTTCACAAGAAAAAATATCAAGTCACAATTGATAGAAACACATGGCTTTCTCCCATCTGGTTTTGGTAGGTCATCCAGCGATTCTTTTATTCTAAAAAATTATTTAAAATAATAGATGATAAAAACAAATGGAAAAATAGATCCATGCTCATGGATTGGAAGAATTAATGTCATTTGAATGGCCATACTGCCCAAAGGGATCTACAGATTCAGCACTATTCCTGTCAACCTACCAATGTCATTTTTCACAGAATAAGATAAAAAACCATTCTACCTTTCTTTTTTTGAAATGGAGGCTCAATCAGTGCAATGGCACCATATCTGCTCACTGCAATCTCCACCTCCGAGGCTCAAGCAATTCTCCTGCCTCTGCCTCCCGCATAGCTAGGATCATAGACACCCACTGCCATGCTCAGATAATGTTTGTATTTTTAGTAGAGATGGGGTTTCGCCATGTCGACCAGGCTGGTTTTGACCTCCTGACCTCAGGTGATCCACTCACCTTGGCCTCCCAAAGTGCTGGAATTACAGGCATGAGCCACTGTGCCCAGCCCTAAAATGCATGTGGAACAAAAAAACAAAAAAGTCTGAATAGCTACAGTAATCCTAAGCAAAAAGAACAAGGCCAGAGACATCACATTATCCAAATTTAAACTACACTATAAGGCTACAATAACCAAAACAGCATGATACTGGTACAAAAACCAACACATAGGCCAATGGAACAGAATGAAAAACCCAGAAATAAAGCTGCACACCTACAAACATCTGATCTTCAATAAAGTTGACAAAAACAACAATGGGGAGAGGATTCTCTATTTTATAAAATAAAAGGTGCTGGGATTGCTGGCTAGCCGAGTGCAGAAGAATGAAACTGGATCCCTCCCTTCCATCATATACAAAAATTAACTCAAGATGGATTAAAAATTTAAGTGTAATGCCTCAAACTATAAAAACCCCAGAAGAAAACCTAGGAAATACCATTCTGAACATTAGCCGTAGCAAAGAATTTTTGACTAAGTCCTCAAAAGCAAATACAATAAAAACAAAAATTGACAAATGGAACCTAATTAAAATAATTTATTTTTTCACAGCAAAGAAAATATCAGCCGGGCGTGGTGGCTCAAGCCTGTAATCCCAGCACTTTGGGAGGTCGAGAGATCCAGACCATCCTTGTCAATATGGTGAAATCCCGTCTTTACTAAAAATACTACAAATTAGCTGGGCATGGTGGCACGTGCCTGTAATCCCAGCTACTCAGGAGGCTGAGGCAGGAGAATTGCCTGAACCCAGGAGGCGGAGGTTGCGGTGAGCCGAGATCGCGCCATTGCACTCCAGCCTGGGTAACAAGAGCGAGACTTCGTCTCAAAAAAAAAAAAAAGAAAGAAAGAAAGAAAATATCAACAGACTGACTGGGCATGGTGGCTCCCACTTGTAACCTAAGCACTTTGGAGGCCAAGGCGAGCAGATCACCTGAGGCCGGGAGTTCAAGACCAGCCTGACCAACATGGTGAAACACCGTCTTAAAAAAAAAACAGACTACTTTTCACAAGACGGCGCCGAAAGCGAAGAAGGAAGCTCCTGCCCCGCCTAAAGCCGAAGCCAAAGCGAAGGCTTTAAAGGCCAAGAAGGCAGTGTTGAAAGGTGTCCACAGCCACAAAAAAAAGAAGATCCGCACGTCACCCACCTTCCGGCGGCCCAAGACACTGCGACTCCGGAGGCAGCCCGAATATCCTCGGAAGGGCGCCCCCAGGAGAAACAAACTGGACCACTATGCTATCATCAAGTTTCCGCTGACCACTGAGTCTGCCATGAAGAAGATAGAAGACAACAACACACTTGTGTTCATTGTGGATGTTAAAGCCAACAAGCACCAGATCCAACAGGCTGTGAAGAAGCTCTATGACATTGACGTGGCCAAGGTCAACACCCTGATTCCGCCTGATGGAGAGAAGAAGGCATATGTTCGACTGGCTCCTGATTATGATGCTTTGGATGTTGCCAACAAAATTGGGATCATCTAAATGGAGTCCAGCTGGCTAATTCTAAATATATGTATATCTTTTCACCATAAAAAAAAAAAAAAAACCATGCTAAACAGATAAACCACAGAATGGGAGAAAATATTTGCAAACGATGCATTTGACAAAGGTCTAATATCCAGAATCTATGAGAAACTTAAACAACTCAACAAGCAAAAAAAAAAAAAAAACAAATAACCACATTAAAAAGTGAGCAAAGACTGGGTGCAGTGGTTCATACCTGTAATCCCAGCACTTTGGGAGGCTGAGGCAGGTGGATCACCTGAGGTTGGGAGTTGAAGACAGCCTGACCAACATGGAGAATCCATGTCTCTACTAAAAATACAAAATTAGCTGTGTGTAGTCACACATGGCTGTAATCCCTGCTACTCAGGAGGCTGAGGCAGGAGACTCACTTGAACCTAGGAGGCAGAGGTTGCAGTGAGCCAAGATCATGCCATTATTGAACTCCAGCCTGGGCAACAAGAGCAAAACTCTGTTTCAAAAAAAAAAAAAAAGGGAGCAAAGAACATGAACTGACACTTCTCAGAAGACATACAGTCAACAAACATGAAAAAATGCTCAAAACTACTAATCTTCAGAGAAATGGAAATCAAAACCACAAGGAGATACCATCTTGGGCTGGGCATGGTGGCTCACGCCTGTAATCCCAGCACTTTGGGAGGCAGAGGTGGAGGTGGGTGGATAACCTGAGGTCAGAAGTTCCAGCCGGGCGCGGTGGCTCAAGCCTGTAATCCCAGCACTTTGGGAGGCCGAGGCGGGTGGATCACGAGGTCAAGAGATCGAGACCATCTTGGTCAACATGGTGAAACCCCGTCTCTACTAAAAATACAAAAATTAGCTGGGCATGGTGGCGCATGCCTGTAGTCCCAGCTATTCAAGAGGCTGAGGCAGGAGAATTGCGGAGGTTGCGGTGAGCCGAGATCGCGCCATTGCACTCCAGCCTGGGTAACAAGAGCAAAACTCCGTCTCAAAAAAAAAAAAAAGGGGAAGTTTGAGATCAGCCTGGCCAAATAGGGGAAACCTCATCTCTTAAAAAAAAAAAAAAAAAAAAAAGCTGACTGTGGTTGCACGTGCGCGTGCCTGTAGTCCCAGCTACTCGGGAGGCTGAGGTGGGAGGATCGCTTGAGCCCAGGAGTTCTGGGCTGTAATGCACTATACTGATCGGGTGTCTGCGCTAAGTTCAGCATCAATATGGGGACCTCTTGGGAGTGGGGGACCACCAGGTTACCTAAGGAGGGGTGAACCGGCCCAGGTTGGAAATGGAGCAGTCAAAACTCCGGTGCTGATCGCGCCTGTGAATAACCACTGCACTCCAGCCTGGGCAACATAGTGAGACCCCGTCTCTAAAAAAAAAAAAGACAGAGAGAGAGATATCGTCTTATACCAGTTAAAGTGTTTCCTATTAAAAAGACAAAAAATAACAGATGCTGGGGAGGCTGCAGAGAAAAGGGAATACTTATATAATGAAGGTGGGAATGTAAATTGGTTCAGCTGCTATAGAAAGCAGTTTGAAGTTTCCTCGAAGTATTAAAAACAGAACTACCATTCCATCCAGCAGTCTAATTACTAGGTATATATATATATATACTAGGTATATACTCAATGGAGAATAAATCGTTCTAACAAAAAGACACATGCGCTTTTATGTTCATGACAGCACCATGCACAACAGCAAAGGCATGGAATCAACCTAGATGCCCATCAGCAGTGGATTGGATAAAGAACATGTGATACATGTACAGCATGAAATACTACATAGCCATAAAAAAGAATGACACCATGTCCTTTGTAGCAATATGGATGCAGATGGAGGCCATGATCCTGAGGAACTTAACACAGGAACAGAAAACCAAATACTGCATGTTTTCACTTTAAATGGGAGCTAAACATTGGGTAGATACGGACGTAAAGATGGCAACAGTAGACACTGGCGACTGCTAGAAGAGGGAGAGATGGAGAGAGCCAAGGCCTGAAAGATGACCTATTGGGTACTATGCTCACTACGTGGGTGATGGGATCATTTGTACCCCAAACTTCAGGGTCATGCAATATATCAAGTAAGAAACCTACACATGCATCCTCTGTACATAAAATAAAAGTTGAAACTAAAAACAAAAATTCGTTGTGGCCGGGGGCGGTGGCTCATGCCTGTAATCTCAGCACTTTGTGAGGCCAAGGCAAAAGGATCACCTGAGGTCGAGAGCTCGAGACCAGCCTGACCAAATGGAGAAACCCCATCTCTGCTAAAAATACAACTAACATTAGTGGGGCGTGATGGCGCATGCCTGTAATCCCAGCTACTCGAAAGGCTGAGGCAGGAGAATCACTTAAATCCAGGAGGTGGAGGTTGCAGTGAGCCGAGATCATACCATTGCACTCCAGCCTGGGCAACAAGAGCGAAACTCTGTCTTAATAATAATAATAATAATAATAATAATAATAATAATAATAATTCTTTGCATTGTGTTTCCTCACAAGAAAGAAGCCATTAACCAGTCTGGATCCTCCAAGAGTGCCCCTTCTACCCAGTGGAAGGAAATCCTTTTGCTCGGCCAGGGCAGAACTGTTAGCTGACAGGTCCAGAAACTGCAGGGGGCATCTGACATTGCATTCTCTTATATCATTCTTGCGCTTTGTCCACATTAACCAACTACGTAGACCTTCACTGCATACCACATAGACTGTGAATGGCTGCCTTTCACTGGCTTTTCTGTCATATTAGTATATGTGGATAGCCAGGTGCAGTGGCTCATGCCTGTAATCCCAGCGCTTTGAGAGTCTGAGGCGGTCAGATCATCTGAGGTCAGAAGTTCGAGACCAACCTGACCAATATGTTAAAACCCTGTCTTTAAATTTAAAAATACACACACACACACACACACACACACACACACAACACACATATGTGTATCAAGTTTCTAGAAAAAAAAGTCTCTGCCATATGAAGAAATATGGTGGAGTCAAGGGCACTGTCTCTACCCTAGTGAAATTTGAATGAGAGTAGAGAAATGTGCTTTCTCTTCAAGACATGCAACTTGGCCCCCCTCCCCCACTTTCCTTCTCTTTGTTTGTATTCTTGTAGTTGCAAAGGCCAGAAAAACTCTTAGTATTAATAAAATTTCCAGGAGGCTGAGGCAGGCAGATCACCTGAGGTCAGGAGTTTGAGACCAGCTGACCAACATGGGGAAACCCCGTCTCTACTAAACATACAAAATTAGATGGGTGTGGTGGTGCATGCCTATAAACCCAGCTACTCGGGAGGCTGAGGCAGGAGAATCACTTGAACCCAGGAGGTGGAGGTTGCAGTGAGCCGAGATCACACCATTGCACTCCAGTCTGGGCAACAAAAGCAAAACTCCGTCTCAAAAAAATTTAAAAATTTAAAAAAATTCCCATAGCAAAATGAGAAAGTGTACTGGCTTTTTTTTTTTTTTTTTTTTTTTTTTGACAGAGTATTTTGTATTTTTAGTAAAGATGGGGTTTCACCATGTTGGCCAGGCTGGCCTCGAACCTCTGACCTTGTGATCCGCCTGCCTCGGCCTCCCAAAGTGCTAGGATTACAGGCATGAGCCACCACCGCATCCGCCCTCTGCTGGCTTTTTTTTTTTTTTTTTTTTTTTTTTTTTTCCTGAGGTGGAGTTTCATTCTTGTTACCCAGGCTGGAGTGCAATGGCGCCATCTCAGCTCACCGCAAGCTCCGCCTCCTGGGTTCAGGCAATTCTCAGCCTCCTGAGTAGCTGGGATTACAGGCACGCACCACCATGGCCAGCAAATTTTTTGTATTTTTAGTTGAGACGTGGTTTCACCATGTTAAACAGGATGGTCTCGATCTATTGACCTCGTGATCCACCCACCTCGGCCTCCCAAAGTGCTGGGATTACAGGCCTGAGCCACCGCGCCTGGTTCTACTGGCTTTTAACACAGACCAATATTCACACAGCTGAATTTCGGGATTCAATTATATCACTGAGTCAGGTCCATCTCTTGGCTAGAATTTCCCTCCTGTAGACTCTTACTCTCTGAAAGGCCCTTGTCAGAAAGGTGAAAGCCAGCAGAACAGCCAGCCTAATTGTCACAACTTGCATCCAACAACAAAAAATACCTCTTTTTTGGTCCCTTCAGCAATAGTTGTGGGATTGGTTCAGAGGGGATCTGATTGAGTGGGTGCCATTCCTGAATCAGTGACTGTGGCTAAGGGAAGAGAAGCTCTGATTGGTCTGGTCTTAGCTATCAGTCAACAAAAGGAGCGGAGGATGTGGTGGATCCCACTCACTCAGCTACAGGAACTGACAACGGGGAGGGGGTAAAATTTCCCAAGAGAAAGGAGGGACACTTCTACTTAACTCCAAGAAGAGTGAACCAATACTGGCCAGGCTACGTGAACCAATATCCACATTATCCCATAACATGAATCTTCTGAATCTCTACATTCAGAAGAATAAAGGAGACTGAGCAGGCAGAGGGGATGATGAGATCAACCCGGTTGAGGTTGGACACTTTACCAACCTCAGGATCATTTTATCCTAAGGATTAACTACACCAAGTACTAAGTCGACTGTGCACTTTTCTGCTTATCTTTGTCATATCACAAGTTAGAATTCTTACACATCCTTAGAAGAGCTGCTCCTTATAATGTACACAGGGTTTTGCTACGTTATTGTTTACATGTTGAAAAGGGTTTCTTTTTACATCCCTCATTGCATTTTGGCTTTTCATAGTGTGCAATTTTGCTGCATTTATAATCATTATGTACTTTGTTTTGGGAGAATGCATTTTGTCATAAAAGCGCTTCACACAGCTAGAGGAATGATCAGCTTCATGATCAATATCCCAGGAAAACATGTTTTTTTTTTCTCTAAAAATATTTAAGATAAGTTGTAAAACTATATGTGTAGCAATAGAAAAAGAAAACTGAAACCAATTTGATTCTTGTAATCAAGAAATAATTAATCTGTAAATGACAATATTAGAATACTATT